TTATATACCTATATTTTTTAAAAATAAAATTTGGATTACATGTGTAGAATTGGCAATACCAGAAATCGTATGATCCAGCTCTCTTTCCTGTTGACTTATCGACTCTGGAACTGGTCATGATCAGCTTGGTGGTATGAAAGTTGATTATATGAATTGGGTCAGCCTTGCTGTACCCAACTGAAACAGAGTTGAGAGGCCCGGGGACTAAAGCATTCAGAGCACATAACATTGCTGCAAAAATGTAATTCTCTGTAAGCCTGGCTGCTGAATCTGCCTGTTGTAACCTCAGCCCAGTTTTATCTAATGGCTACTGAAGTGACCTGCTACAACTCTAAGACTAGTTTTACCCAAAGCTGAGACTCACAATCAACACTTGACAGCTCCCCAGAACCTTACTAGGGCCAACAAACTTTCTTGAAGAGCACTTTGTAATATTTGTACTTTTTATAAAATCTTTATCTTTTTTCTTCAGACGTATCAAAGACCAGCTGGTCTGCATGTATGTCCTGAATTGCAATGATTTCCTCCCAAATTAAATGTTTTAATTTCAGAGATTCATCTCTATACTTTATTTGGCTTCAATAGTGGAAAAAGACAAAGAACATGGGAAATTAAAATAATCAAATATTTACAAACATCAAGCTAATACAGCCAGTTACATCTTTTATCTTTCAATAGGAGCCCATTATGCCAAAAAGAGTAGAAAATACTCAAATCCAGTGGCTAAGTATCCTTTTCCCCAAAACAAATAGATTCAGATATGTCAATATTTTGTTCATTTGCTTGCAGTCAAGTTTACTAATCTTGGATCTAGGTTCCTACATGTTGATGTTGTATATACTTTAGGGGCCCACCTTTATTACCCCTGACATCCAAGTTTTTCAGAGACATTATGCGGCTGCTTGCTAGTATTGTCTGTCTATCTACAAATATGTGTATACATATTACATGCACATACACACATTGTAGGCCTTCGGAGGACAATGGTTTGGAGTGATCAGAAAAGACTGACATGGTCTTGAATGATATGGAATGTCCAGAAGTAGAAATGGATACTAGGATAGAAAATATTCCAGGAGAAGAAAACAGGAGTAAAGATCAAGAGGTAGGAAAGAGTAAAGGGATGTTCCAGACCAATGAGTCACAGCTGGAGTTTAGTGTCTGTGTAGGCTAGTAGTGGGAGACAAGGCTGGAAAGATAAGTTGGAGCAGTATTGTAGAGGGCTTTGAATAGCCAGAGTTAAATTTTTGTTTGGTAGACAATGGGAAGACATTGATGTTTTTATAGTTGGACAGGGTTTGATCAGAGCTGAATTTAGGAAGCTTAATCTGTGATGGGTTGACATCTATCTACACTTAGTCTTCTTGGGCTGCTATAACAGAATACCATAGACTGGGTGGTTTAAACAACAGACATTTATTTCTCACAGCTCTGGAGGCTGGGGATTCTAAGATCAAGGTGCTGGCAGATTTGGTTTCTGGTGAAGGCCCTTTTCCTGGCTTGCTGACTGCCATCTTCTATTCCTGTGTCCTACGTGGTAGAGGGAGAGAGTGCTGGTCTTTCTACCTCTGCTTATAAGGACACTAATTCCATCATGGGAGCTACACTCTCACGACTTCATCTAAATCTAAATATCTCTCAAATGCCCCGCCTCCTAATACCATCACATTAGGGATTAGGGCTTCAACATGTAAATTGAAGGGAGACTGGGCACAGTGGCTCAGGCCTGTAATTCTAGCACTTTGAGAGGCAGAAGAGGGAGGATCACTTGAGGCCAGGAGTTCTAGACCAGCCTGGGCAACATAGTGAGACCCCTGTATCTACAAAAAATAAGAAAATTAGCTGGGTATGGTGGCATGGACCTGTAATCCAAGCTATTTGGAAGGCCGGAGCAGGAGGATTGCTTGAGCCC